TGGTTAGGTTCGTATACTGTATATGCATCCTACCAGCCCTGATACTTAGAATAGCTTATACAGTGGACCCTCGACCAGCGATATTAATCCGTTCCTGAGAGCTCATTGTTAGTCAGAATTATCGTTAGTCAAGTTAATTTTCCCCATAAGAAATAATGGAAATCAAATTAATCCGTGCAAGACACCCAAAAGTATTGAAAAAAAAAAAATTTTACCACATGAAATATTAATTTTAATACACACAAACTGAAGATTACATGCACAGTTACATGACACTTACCTTTATTGAAGATCTGGTGATGATTGATGGGATGGGAGGAGGGGAGAGGTGTTAGTGTTTAGAAGGGGAATCCTCTTCCATTAGCACTTGAGGCAGCAAGTCTTTTTCTGGGGTTACTTCCCTTGTTCTTTTAATGCCACTAGGACCAGCTTCAGAGTCACTGGACTTCTGTCGCACAACATATCTGTCCATAGAGGCCTGTACCTCTCGTTCCTTTATGACTTTCCTAAAGTGGTTCACAACAGTGTCAGTGTAATAGTCACCAGCACGGCTTGCAGTAGCTGTGTCAGGGTGATTTTCATCAAAAAAGGTTTGCACTTCAAGCCACTTTGCACACATTTCCTTTATCTTAGAAGTAGGCAACTTCTTCAATTTCTCTCTCCCCTCCTCCGAAGCAGTTTCCTCGGGTGTGCCCTCTTGCTGTTGAAGATGATCTAGCAGCTCATCAGTGGTTAGTTCTTCACTGTCCTCCACCACCAACTCTTCCACATCCTCCCCACTAACCTCCAACCCCAAGGACTTCCCCAATGCCACAATGGATTCCTCAACTGGCACAGGATTCTCAGGGTTAGTCTCAAACCCTTCAAAATCCCTTTTGTCTACACATTCTGGCCACAGTTTTTTCCAAGCAGAGTTCAATGTCCTCTTAGTCACTTCCTCCCAAGCCTTACCTATAATGTTTACACAATTGAGGATGTAAAATGATCTTTCCAAAACTCTCTTAGAGTCAGTTGAGTTTCTGAGGTCACTACAAAGCACCTTTCAAACATAGCTTTTGTGTACAGTTTCTTGAAGTTGGAAATAACCTGTTGGTCCATGGGCTGCAGGAGAGGAGTGGTATTAGGAGGCAAAAACTTCACCTTAATGAAGCTCATGTCCCTAGAAAGTCGCTCTGCCAAGTCTGAAGGATGACCAGGAGCATTGTCTAATACCAGGAGGCACTTAAGGTCTAATTTCTTTTCAATTAGGTAATTTTTCACATTGGGGGCAAATGCATGATGTAACCAGTCATAGAAAAAGTCCCTAGTGACCCATGCCTTACTGTTTGCCCTCCATAGCACACACAAATTAGCCTTGAGGACATTGTTTTTCCTGAACACTCTGGGAGTTTCAGAGTGATACACCAATAAAGGCTTCACTTTGCAATCACCACTAGCATTGGCACACATCAACAGAGTAAGCCTGTCTTTCATAGGCTTATGTCCTGGGAGTGCCTTTTCCTCCTGAGTAATGTACGTCCTGCTTGGCATTTTCTTCCAAAACAGGCATGTTTCGTCACAATTAAACACTTGTTCAGGTTTCAGTCCTTCACTGTCTATGTACTCCTTGAAGTCCTGCACATATTTTTCAGCTGATTTGTGGTCCGAACTGGCAGCCTCACCATGCCTTATCACACTATGAATTCCACTACGCTTCTTAAATCTCTCAAACCAACCTTTGCTGGCCTTAAATTCACTCACATCACTAGTTGCTGGCATTTTGCTAATTAAATCGTCATGCAACTTCCTAGCCTTTTCACATATGATCGCTTGAGAGATGCTGTCTCCTGCTATCTGTTTCTCGTTTATCCACACCAATAAAAGTCTCTCAACATCTTCTATCACTTGCGATCTCAGTTTCGAAAACATAGTTGCACCTTTGGCAAGAACAGCTTCCTTGATTGCCGTTTTCTTGCCCACAATAGTAGCAATGGTTGATTGGTGTTTATTATACAACCTGACCAGCTCAGAGATACGCACTCCACTTTCATATTTATCAATGATCTCTTTCTTCATCTCCATAGTAATTCTCACCCTTTTTGCTGTAGGGTCGGCACTAGAAGCTTTCTTGGGGCCCATGGTGACTTATTTTGCAGGTGCAATCACTAAAAAGGCTGTGATAATATGAAATGTTCCAGTTGTATGTTTGGAAGCGACCGCGGTGGCTGGCTGGCTTGTAAACACTGGCACCAAAGGGACAAGTGAGGCGCGCTCAGGCCAAAGTGGACGCGTATGGTACGGAACGAATAGCACTGGTCGGGTTTTTAAGCGCTAGTCGAGGCAAAATTTTTGCGTTAAAATGTATCGCTAGTCAGATTTATCGTTAATCGATGCCATCGTTGGTCGAGGGTCCACTGTATACTGATAATGCTATACCGAGCTATCTTACGAAGTCTAAAAACAAATCCTCTTGCCAGTGAGTTGTCTGTGTCTTAGAAGAGCTTGACAACTTTAGCACCTGGGTTCTGTTTACATAATGATATCTACTACTAACTGTAAACTATGGTTATGTTTTGTCCTCGTATATCTCAAGCAGTGTGGAATCCCCAATTATATTATGAAGGCACTTTTTCCAAAGCCTTCATTTTCTACAAGACCTAACAATGGGTATGACTAATATATTTCTCTAATGTAGAGGAAGAAATGGGTCTAATATGAATACAGCCTGCTTTATGCTTCTCAACTGACTCAACAGCCACCAATATTGGGCTACAAACAGAAGACGCCTTTTCCAAATAGGGTTCGATGTGAGAATGGACACAAACAATAGACTTAAGAAACATGTAAAACCAGTGGTTCAGAGCAAATCTTATAGGCAGTAATCAGGGCTGGATTAAGGCATGGGCTTCATGGGCTGCAGCCCAGGGGCCTCTGCCAACTGGAGGACCTCCAGAGATTAAGTGAAAAGCATTCACAGTTACTGCTGTAAGTTTATAATTCTTTCTTTCTTTCAACACACTGGCTGTATCCCACCGAGGCGGGGTGGCCCAAAAGGAAAAACAAAAGTTTCTCCTTTTACATTTAGTAATATATACAGGAGAAGGGGTTACTAGCTCCTTGCTCCCGGCATTTTAGTCGCCTCTTACAACACGCATGGCTTATGGAGGAAGAATTCTGTTCCATTTCCCCATGGAGGTAAGTGGAAATAAACAAGAACAAGAACTAGAAAGAAAATAGAAGAAAACCCAAAGGGGTGTGTATATATATGCTTGTACATGTATGTGTAGTGTGACCTAAGTGTAAGTAGAAGTAGCAAGACATACCTGTAATCTTGCATGTGTATGAGACAGAAAACAAAAAGACACCAGCAATCCTACCATCGTGTAAAACAATTATAGGCTTCAGTTTTACACTCACCTGGCAGGACAGTAGTACCTCCCTGGGCAGTTGCTGTCTACCAACCTACTACCTATAAAGTTTATAATTATAGTATGTTATTACAGCACATATATAATGAACTGTTGTGGTTAATTTTTTTCCTTTTGAAAATTTCACTGGGGGCACCTTACAGTACCTGTAGCCCAGTGGCCTACAAAATCTTAAACTGGCTCTGGCAGTAATACCCAAGTGGCTCATCGGAATCATTATATACAAGCAGTGAAAATATACACACATATGCAGTATAATGTGATCCTTTATTGACAACGTTTCACCCACACAGTGGGCTTTTTCAAGTCACAGACAGATCTACCTGGGGTGGAAGGTACGCGAGTATTTATAGCCAGGTTCACAATGCTGGGTCAGGTGGAGAATGCTGCATGTGATGATCTACTGAGTGGGGTTACAGATCATCACATGCAGCATTCTCCACCTGACCCAGCATTCTGAACCTGACTATAAATACTCGCATACCTTCCACCCCAGGTAGATCTGTCTGTGACTTGAAAAAGCCCACTGTGTGGGCAAAACGTTGTCGATAAAGGATCACATTATACTGCATGTGTGTTCATATTTCCCTTGTGTCGGTATTTTATACCATTTATTTCCATATACAAGCATTATCAACAAACAGCAAGAGTACCAACATCTATACTAATAAAAGTATTGTGCATGCATCACCAGTACTTGTACCATCAATCATGCAAAATTCAATACAATATACTTGACATAAACTTACTAAACATTCTAAATGAATGTTAACTTGTTTGGCAAAGTTATCACTAAGTCCCCTGAAGGAGGGAAGAGTGCCTTACTGGTGAAGGGCTCTTGATTTATGGAAATGGAGCTAGCATCCCCTTCCAGTAATCATAGCAGATTACCTCCCACTCCTGGATGCTATATGACCCCTACAAGTTCAGCATTTCCCCATGAGTATAATAATAATCACCCTGAACAGCTTTACTTAAGCTTACAATCAATTACACCTCAAGAAGCCTGGCTATTGCCAAAAGTCAAACCTAAGTAAGTTTATTTAGGTACAGGTACACATAAGTACAATTTTCATACATAATGACATGTGTAAATTACCTACAAGGATAACCCAAAAATAGGTCAGACTTACGTCTGGTGGGGTCCTATTAATATTATACTGTGTATGTTACTGATCCCATGGGAGTCACACAGCACGTGGGAAGAGGAGGTATTCAAGTTTGATCTGCTGAAGAAAAGAGTAGCTTCAATTTCATGGCTCAAGATCTATTCACCAACATCTTTGAAGACAGTCAAACCTACATTTTATGAATGACTAACCTTGTATTGTTGCACCTTTGATACTGGAGACAATGGATGGAAAGTGACTTGCTCATATGACTGAATGAAAGTCATCCAAATATTATTGTGTGCAACAGTAAGTACAGGAGTGTTAGGTTAGTAATAAACATTCTAGCTACTTTCCAACATGGAAGATGCCACTCACAGAGGGGGCATGACCAGATAAAAAAAATGCAATATACAGTATTTAAGTCCAGCTTTTTAAAAAAAGAAACCTCAAAAAGCATTATGGTCAGGCCAAATTGCTAAACATGCACTAAATGGATTTCCACTGATTGTGCATACCTTCTCTTGGTTGTTGGCCTTGCCCAGAATATTAATAGGTGAAGCAGCAATATACAATACGTTATCCTCACTTTTTTGAAGAACTACATGTGTGTACTACTACAAACTGATGCTCCTAAGCTACTCATTGTCTTTTGTCACAAATGACAACTGTTAACTTACATTTAAGTTTCTTTATTATACAAGATGATCAAAAAGTAAATATCAAGCTTGCAGATAAAACACTTCTTTTCATTCTACTCTTTTAAAGAGATATTTATATGTACCTAAGAAGAAATATCACACCCAAATATGACTAGCACTGATGTGTAACAAAGCCTTCACTACAGATTTTACTATGGTGCATACCTATGCTAAATCGTTTATTCACATGTAGTTTATTGTTCAATTTTAAAGATATACCAATTATAATCTACTCACAATATTTGACACACACACACACACACACACACACACACTCAGAATTACTTAAGAGACATTTTAGCCATCAATAACAAAAAAGGCACAATACCGTGTGAACGATACAGTGTGACTTTGTCAATGGTCCAAGTCAGACCGAAACGTCGTCGTAAGCTTCTCTCTTTTATGTGCGGGTTATTTGTGTATTTTAGCCATCTGTATCAATAACGAGTTGCCCATCACTTGTGTCGGAGTCGGAACTGGAGCCAGTGTCACTGGACAGAAGATCATGAAATCTCCAGGACATGCTGTTGCCATCTTCCTGGAAACAGCAACCTCTCACTTCTCTTTCCATATCATGCAAGTCTGCATGGACTTCTACCTCATTCTCTCCTGCAATTTTTGGCTCCCTATATAACTGAACTTTGGGTTTTCTTTGTGCATCTTTCTTGAGTAAAGATTGTATGGCCATCTTCATGGAGTTTTTACGCATTACAACCTTAATGTTTCTTTCTAAGTTATCGATAATTTCATTAGATATATCAAAGTTTCCAGCTTCATTTTCTTTGCTGGTGCTTCTATCAAGGAAATTTGCTAATTCTCTAAGTCCAGCTTTAGCATCCAGTGTCTGAACCCCAGAAGAACTTGACTCTTTCTTTTGCTGTCTTCTACTGCAGCATCCATCCTGTAATGGTTTTGCAGTGTAAGACTGTCCTAGGCTTCCCACTGTTAATAAGTTACACTTACAATTAAAATTTAAAGGTTCTTGTTTACACTGACTGGAGAGCTCTGAACTACTGCAACAGGAAGAGGTACTCACATCAGACACATTATGAATTTTTGATTTGCATCTGTGCACTGTTCTGTCATGAGTGCATTCTGTTGCTTGGTTAGGTGATAAATTTACCCGTGATTCAATCATCTCTCCTGACTTTTCATTTTTGAGGCCATATTTATCAACAGAAACTTGTTTGCATTCTTTCCTCTTATCAAGTGAAGTGCAGTCGCCAGGTATGGTAACACTGTATTCCCTTCCTTCATTTTGAATATTGAACTCGGAGCCAACAAGACGAACATGAATTACAGGTAGAGATTTGCGCAAAATATCTACCGAGTCCTTGCCCTCCTCTTTTGTGGAAGGAAAAGATTGTGTGTTGTTATCCTTATGCTTTTTGCATGATTTCATTCGTTTTCTTTCACCATGTTCATGATCTTCCTTATGAGATCGCTTTTTTCCAGTGCCTTTAAGCTTTGATCGTCTTTTTGGTCTGCTCTTTTTTGTATGCTTACTTCTATTACCAATGAAGTTCTTAAAGAAACATTTGTCATGTGCTGATTTACTATTGTCTTCATGGAGATATTTTTCATTACATCTCTTGGAAAAATTATGTGTATCTAAATTATCCACTTCTGTTGATTGTAAACTGAAGTTGCTGGACATTTGATTGAAATTCTTAAAATCTTTGTAATCTGCAAGTGCGGGTATGGACAGATTTTGAGAATTCTCTTGTACATCTTCCTTGTTTCCTGTCAGTTTTGCTTCTCTTAGTGATGCTGTGACTGAAGACTGAGAGGAGGATCCCTGTTGGATCATGTGTCTCACCAGGCGTAAAGATTCCTCCAAGCCTTTTTCTACTTTCCTCTTTATTTCATATGTTTCCAGCAGAGGGTCAGGTGCAAGACTGTGCTGAAATAGAGCTGAATAAAGGGGTAATGTGTATGGTAATGGAGGTGATAACATTGTGGAAGACAGCAACTTAAGTAATGAGGGGCCAGAATTTGGAAATAATGATGAAGTACAAGAAGGGGTAGCTGGGGCAGATGAATAAGCATCAGAACTTGAGGAAGATAAAGAAGATACCTGAGGCAAGGAACTATCTGCTTGTGGTGTATGAAGGTGGTCCGACGAGTGTGTTGTTGTAGAATTTTGACTCTCTGGAAGCCCCTTGGTCACCCTTATTTCATTGGAGGGGTTCAGGGGAATTATTTCTGAAAAAGAAAATAAATAAATAAATATATATATATTTTTTTTTTCAACAAACCGGCCGTATCCCACCGAGGCAGGGTGGCCCAAAAAGAAAAACAAAAGTTTCTCTTTTTAAATTTAGTAATTTATACAGAAGGGGTTACTAGCCCCTTGCTCCCGGCATTTTAGTTGCCTCTTACAACACGCATGGCTTACGGAGGAAGAATTCTGTTCCAATTCCCCATGGAGATAACAGGAAATAAACAAGAACAAGAACTAGTAAGAAAATAGAAGAAAACCCAAGCATATATATATATGCTTGTACATGTATGTGTAGTGTGACCTATGTGTAAGTAGTAGTAGAAAGATGTACCTGAAATCTTGCATGTCTATGAGACAGAAAAATGGACACCACCAATCCTACCATCATGTAAAACAATTACAGGTTTACGTTTTACACTCACTTTCTCAGTAGTAGTAACCAGTTACCAGTAACCAGTGTACCAGTAGTTGACTCACTACCAACCGTCTCTGCCTGAGTCACTGTCTGTATTCATATTGTGCTGACCACAGCAGTATTCAAAGACCCCCTCACATATGGGTACTGTGGGCGGCCAGTCAGTCATACGAGAGTGAGCGAGAGAGGCAGGATCGGCTGTGGCGCCCTTCCACATACTTCAGTTACAATATACGTACTTCCAGCCTACGTGAGTATTTTTACCCAATCCACGTGTTCGAACTCCCACATGATAAATGGTGGCACCGGTGTGGAGCGTGGATTTAAGTTTTTATGGGTAATTCAGGACGTTAGAAGACTGTTTGTGAGTAGCCGGCGGGTCAAAGGTGAACTGTCTCACCCACTCCAGCTACTCACTCCCCTCACTCACCACCTCCAGCCTGCAAGCCTGTTGCAGCCGTTTCAAGCTTCCTGGCTTAGTTCGTGTGCTAATTGCTTCAATCTCCGAGGGGTTGACCCGGATTTTGCAATTAAGCCAGTCAGTAAGCCAGACTGTGGAAGTGAACGCCAGTCAGCCTATCTTCCAGCCTGTCTCCTGTCATCCACCTGCTCCTCCGTGCTGTGTGCATCATTACACGTCTTCCAGTCAGCCATTCTCGTGGGGTAAGCCAGTCAGCCAACCCAGCTTCTAACCCAGCTGAGAGAGAGAAGTAAGCCACGCAGTAAGAAGTAAGCCAAGTTCCTCTGAAGTATTGTCTATATCGCTTTGTGCTTGGATGCTAAGAGTGAATTTCACCATCCCTGTGGCATAGTGGCTTGGCAGGACGGTAGTACCTCCCTGGGCGGTTGCTGTCTACCAACCTACTACCTAGGATATATATCTCTTCTTTCTTTCAACGTACCAGCTGTATCCCACCGAGATGGGGTGGCCCAAAAGGAAAAACGAAAGTTTCTCCTTTCAAATTTAGTAATATATACAGGAGAAGGGGTTACTAGCCCCTTGCTTCCGGCATTTTAGTCGCCTCCTACGACACGCATGGTTTATGGAGGAAGAATTCTGTTCCACTCCCCCATGGAGATTAAGAGGAAATAAACAAGAACAAGAACTAGAAAGAAAATAGAAGAAAACCCAGAGGGGTATGTCTGTTTTCTCATCAATGTTTTTGAGAGCTTTACGAATTTGTAGTCCTGATTTCATAGATGAGGAAATATCCAAAATTTATGAAATAGGTAATGTTTTAAAATACCCAAGAAATGTAATTAATAAATCTTTTAAAGTTGCTAGAAATACTTTTTACAATCCAAAAAGGGACAACCAGCCTTATTCAACTAAAAATATGTTTGTTCTCCCTTACCATGAAAACTTGGTTGATATGCCTTCTCTTCTTAAGACTTTTAATATTAAAGTTGTATTCAAAAATCTTGATACAGTAAAAAAAAACTTTTGATAAAGAATTCCCCCCAAAATGCTGATGGATGTGTCTATAAGATTCCTTGTAAAATTTGCGATAAAGTTTATTACGGTCAAACTGGTAAAAATATTGAACTAAGATTAAAACAACATAAATATAGCATTAGAACTGGACAAGATTCCAATGCTCTATTTATTCATGTAAGAGATTTTAACCATCCAATTGATTTTCAAAAAGTTGAGAAAGTAGTATCAAGCAAGTCCATGGTCGACAGGAATATAATTGAATCTTGTTTCATAAAAAGCAGTTTTGACAATAATATGAATATTTCCTTTGGGTTTTAAATATAAATTAGATCCATTTAAATTAATAGAATTTGGGAAGAATTTAATAATACACTGGACAAATAATAATTTTTAAAATTTTCTTGGGTAGAATAGTTTGTTCGTGAGTTGTGCAAAGGACCTGTCCAGTTGGGCCGGCGCGCGTCAGGTGTTTAACCGTTGTGGGATCTGATAGTGAGGTGTTGGCCAGACCCCTTATATACCTTCCTTGGATGCTTTACTTTCATAGTTCCTTGATAATGTGAGTAGTCACAAAAGCACTTGGAATTTCTCTCTTCTTTCAGAGTGGTTGTTTTGTGCATATATATATATGGGTGTGAAGCATGGGTGATGAATGTTGCAGCGAGGAGAAGGCTGGAGGCAGTGGAGATGTCATATCTGAGGGCAATGTGTGGTGTGAATATAATGCAGAGAATTCGTAGTTTGGAAGTTAGGAGGAGGTGCGGGATTACCAAAACTGTTGTCCAGAGGGCTGAGGAAGGGTTGTTGAGGTGGTTCGGACATGTAGAGAGAATGGAGCGAAACAGAATGACTTCAAGAGTGTATCAGTCTGTAGTGGAAGGAAGGCGGGGTAGGGGTCGGCCTAGGAAAGGTTGGAGAGAGGGGGTAAAGGAGGTTTTGTGTGCGAGGGGCTTGGACTTCCAGCAGGCATGCGTGAGCGTGTTTGATAGGAGTGAATGAGACAAATGGTTTTTAATACTTGACGTGCTGTTGGAGTGTGAGCAAAGTAACATTTATGAAGGGGTTCAGGGAAACCGGCAGGCTGGACTTCGAGTCCTGGAGATGGGAAGTACAGTGCCTGCACTCTGAAGGAGGGGTGTTAATGTTGCAGTTTAAAAACTGTAGTGTAAAGCACCCTTCTGGCAAGACAGTGATGGAGTGAATGATGGTGAAAGTTTTTCTTTTTCGGGCCACCCTGCCTTGGTGGGAATCGGCCAGTGTGATAATATATATATATATACGTATATATATGCAATAAGATCACAGTAAACAGGTGATTTCAGAATATGCAAAACAACCACTCTGAAAAAATAGAGAAATTCCAAGCGCTTTCATGACTACTCACATTATCAAGGAACTATGAAAGTAAGGCATCCAAGGACCTATCCAAGTTGGCTCGCCGCGCGTCACGTGTTTAACCGTTGTGGGATCTGATAGTGAGGTGCCGGCCAGACCCCTTATATAGCTTCCTTGGATGCCTTACTTTCATAGTTCCTTGATAATGTGAGTAGTCACGAAAGCGCTTGGAATTTCTCTATTTTTTCAGAGTGGTTGTTTTGCATATATATATATATATATATATATATATATATATATATATATATATATATATATATATATATATATATATATATATATATATATTTTTTTTTTTTATTATCACACCGGCCGATTCCCACCAAGGCAGGGTGGCCCGAAAAAGAAAAACTTTCACCATCATTCACTCCATCACTGTCTTGCCAGAAGGGTGCTTTACACTACAGTTTTTAAACTGCAACATTAACCCCCCCTCCTTCAGAGTGCAGGCACTGTACTTCCCATCTCCAGGACTCAAGTCCGGCCTGCCGGTTTCCCTGAATCCCTTCATAAATGTTACTTTGCTCACACTCCAACAGCACGTTCAAGTATTAAAAACCATTTGTCTCCCATTCACTCCTATCAAACACGCTCACGCATGCCTGCTGGAAGTCCAAGCCCCTCGCACACAAAACCTCCTTTACCCCCTCCCTCCAACCCTTCCTAGGCCGACCCCTACCCCGCCTTCCTTCCACTACAGACTGATACACTCTTGAAGTCATTCTGTTTCGCTCCATTCTCTCTACATGTCCGAACCACCTCAACAACCCTTCCTCAGCCCTCTGGACAACAGTTTTGGTAATCCCGCACCTCCTCCTAACTTCCAAACTACGAATTCTCTGCATTATATTCACACCACACATTGCCCTCAGACATGACATCTCCACTGCCTCCAGCCTTCTCCTCGCTGCAACATTCATCACCCACGCTTCACACCCATATAAGAGCGTTGGTAAAACTATACTCTCATACATTCCCCTCTTTGCCTCCAAGGACAAAGTTCTTTGTCTCCACAGACTCCTAAGTGCACCACTCACTCTTTTTCCTCATCAATTCTATGATTCACCTCATCTTTCATAGACCCATCCGCTGACACGTCCACTCCAAATATCTGAATACGTTCACCTCCTCCATACTCTCTCCCTCCAATCTGATATTCAATCTTTCATCACCTAATCTTTTGTTATCCTCATAACCTTACTCTTTCCGTATTTTACCTTTAATTTTCTTCTTTTGCACACCCTACCAAATTCATCCACCAATCTCTGCAACTTCTCTTCAGAATCTCCCAAGAGCACAGTGTCATCAGCAAAGAGCAGCTGTGACAACCCCACTTTGTGTGTGATTCTTTATCTTTTAACTCCACGCCTCTTGCCAAGACCCTCGCATTTACTTCTCTTACAACCCCATCTATAAATATATTAAACAACCACGGTGACATCACACATCCTTGTCTAAGGCCTACTTTTACTGGGAAAAAATTTCCCTCTTTCCTACATACTCTAACTTGAGCCTCACTATCCTCGTAAAAACTCTTCACTGCTTTCAGTAACCTACCTCCTACACATACACTTGCAACATCTGCCACATTGCCCCCCTATCCACCCTGTCATACGCCTTTTCCAAATCCATAAATGCCACAAAGACCTCTTTAGCCTTATCTAAATACTGTTCACTTATATGTTTCACTGTAAACACCTGGTCCACACACCCCCTACCTTTCCTAAAGCCTCCTTGTTCATCTGCTATCCTATTCTCCGTCTTACTCTTAATTCTTTCAATTATAACTCTACCATACACTTTACCAGGTACACTCAACAGACTATCCCCCTATAATTTTTGCACTCTCTTTTATCCCCTTTGCCTTTATACAAAGGAACTATGCATGCTCTCTGCCAATCCCTAGGTACCTTACCCTCTTCCATACATTTATTAAATAATTGCACCAACCACTCCAAAACTATATCCCCACCTGCTTTTAACATTTCTATCTTTATCCCATCAATCCCGGCTGCCTTACCCCCTTTCATTTTACCTACTGCCTCACGAACTTCCCCCACACTCACAACTGGCTCTTCCTCACTCCTACAAGATGTTATTCCTCCTTGCCCTATACACGAAATCACAGCTTCCCTATCTTCATCACATTTAACAATTCCTCAAAATATTCCTTCCATCTTCCCAATACCTCTAACTCTCCATTTAATAACTCTCCTCTCCTATTTTTAACTGACAAATCCATTTGTTCTCTAGGCTTTCTTAACTTGTTAATCTCACTCCAAAACTTTTTCTTATTTTCAACAAAATTTGTTGATAACATCTCCCCCACTCTCTCATTTGCTCTCTTTTTACATTGCTTCACCACTCTCTTAACTTCTCTCTTTTTCTCCATATACTCTTCCCTCCTTGCATCACTTCTACTTTGTAAAAACTTCTCATATGCTAACTTTTTCCCCTTACTACTCTCTTTACATCATCATTCCACCAATCGCTCCTCTTCCCTCCTGCACCCACTTTCCTGTAACCACAAACTTCTGCTGAACACTCTAACACTACATTTTTAAACCTACCCCATACCTCTTCGACCCCATTGCCTATGCTCTCATTAGCCCATCTATCCTCCAATAGCTGTTTATTATCTTACCCTAACTGCCTCCTCTTTAGTTTATAAACCTTCACCTCTCTCTTCCCTGATGCTTCTATTCTCCTTGTATCCCATCTACCTTTTACTCTCAGTGTAGCTACAACTAGAAAGTGATCTGATATATCTGTGGCCCCTCTATAAACATGTACATCCTGAAGTCTACTCAACAGTCTTTTATCTACCAATACATAATCCAACAAACTACTGTCATTTCGCCCTACATCATATCGTGTATACTTATTTATCCTCTTTTTCTTAAAATATGTATTACCTATAACTAAACCCCTTTCTATACAAAGTTCAATCAAAGGGCTCCCATTATCATTTACACCTGGCACCCCAAACTTACCTACCACACCCTCTCTAAAAGTTTCTCCTACTTAGCATTCAAGTCCCCTACCACAATTACTCTCTCACTTGGTTCAAAGGCTCCTATACATTCACTTAACATCTCCCAAAATCTCTCTCTCTCCTCTGCATTCCTCTCTTCTCCAGGTGCATACACGCTTATTATGACCCACTTCTCGCATCCAACCTTTACTTTAATCCACATAATTCTTGAATTTACACATTCATATTCTCTTTTCTCCTTCCATAACTGATCATTTAACATTACTGCTACCCCTTCCTTTGCTCTAACTCTCTCAGATACTCCAGATTTAATCCCATTTATTTCCCCCACTGAAACTCTCCTACCCCCTTCAGCTTTGTTTCGCTTAGGGCCAGGACATCCAACTTCTTTTCATTCATAACATCAGCAATCATCTGTTTCTTGTCATCCGCACTACATCCACGCACATTTAAGCAACCCAGTTTTATAAAGTTTTTCTTCTTCTCTTTTTTAGTAATTGTATACAGGAGAAGGGGTTACTAGCCCATTGCTCCCGGCATTTTAGTCGCCTCATACGACACGCATGGCTTACGGAGGAAAGATTCTTTTCCATCTTCCCCATGGACAATAGAAGAAATAAAAAAGAACAAGAGCTATTTAGAAAAAGGAGAAAAACCTAGATGTATGTATATATATATATGCATGTGCGTGTCTGTGAAGTGTGACCAAAGTGTAAGTAGGAGTAGCAAGATATCCCTGTTATCTTAGCGTGTTTATGAGACAGAAAAAGAAACCAGCAATCCTACCATCATGCAAAACAGTTACAGGTTTTTGTTTCACAGTCATCTGGCAGGACGGTAGTACTTCCCTGGGTGGTTGCTGTCTACCAACCTACTACGTCTTATATATATATATATATATATATATATATATATATATATATATATATATATATACATACATACATGTGTACATATATATATATATATATATATATTATATATATATATATATATATATATATATATATATATATATTTTATATATACACACACACACACACATACACATATATAAAAAGCAGGGTTAAAGAGAAAAAATAAAACTATACACTATAAGCTATAAGTTTGAACTGTATTTATTTATCCTAACAGTAGTTATTATGCTGCAAATGCCAACACACAGTAATCTCTGTCTATGATGAATATATGTGAATTCACTTTTATGCAATGATCCCCCATTCTACCAGTAATTTGTGTGTGAAATAAATGCACTCTTATGCATTTGAAAGCAATTTGCATAATGATAGTGGAAGGATTACACTGTGAAGATGCCCTCAATAACATCAAGACTTCAGAGGATCAAATAAAGTCCTCCACCTTGAACAGTGCATAAAAATTTCTTTGGAGAGGCTGAATTATAAACTTCAAGGGCTTACCCAAATTGTTCACAATTATTCAACAAGTTGTTTAACTGCAACAGAAAATGGTAAGAGAATGTTTCTTGAACCATGAGGAAGAAGATAACATGGAGCTTATCGATTTTTATAATAGAGAAAAAATGTAGCTAACCTGACGAAGATTATAGTGCAGTACTACTACATCTGCTGATCAGGAAGAGGAACTGAAAGTGCTTCTTAATATGGAGAACCTACAAAGAAGCTGGCAGAATTGTTTTGCACAAGCTGAGAGACTTCCACAGTTAGACACAATGACCCTAGCCTGAAGAAGTCTCAAGTTCAAACATCATATAAACACTGGCCTACAGTGCCTACAAATAGGTGTTGAATGACTAAGCAATTCTTGAAGTCTTCACATGCCTCCAGGCCCACTCTAAATGGCTCTTCTATCTCTACATTTATTGCATTGGTGATGTTTGATGGTGAAAGCACCTTACTCATTTGAATATAATGTACAATATGTATTATCCTAATAATGTACTAGAAAGGAGACAGTAGTACAGTCAAGGTCTTGCAACATCTCCCTCTATTTTCACATGTCAATTTGCTTTCCTTTTATTCAATTCTTATATATTGTATGTGCCATGGGCTTGGAACACATTTATCACAAAGTGAGGGACATTTGCAATGGTAAAAAGAGCATTTTCAATTGTTTTACTATACTATGGTACAGATGTTGTATACTGTATATTTCTCCATATTTACATATCACTACTAGTACTAATATAGCATGAAAAAAAGTTGGGTAGTCATTTAATCATGAAATAACACACAAAGTTTAATATAGCAAAAACTCACTATTGTGAAGATCTAGGCAGGGTGGAGGTGAGGCAGAGTGACTGCAGCTGTGTGTTATGTCACACCTCTCATGGCAAGGGAGAAATTTATGAGCATCTGCAAGTGTGGCTGATGTCTGTACAGTGTGGAAGGAGCTGGTGATCTGGGGTGATGATGGTGTTTCCTCCTTCACACACACTTCCTCCAAAGGTTGCAAGGGAGGCAGAGACAACAAAGACAGCAGTTTGTTGGATGGTCCATTTTGTAAAGCTTGCTGGTTGGTTGTTCCATTTGCTTTGGAGGTAGGAGGGAGTGCTACAGGAGGTACTTGCTTTTCTGTGGGTTTCTTGAATGAATTCTGGTGAATGGTTGCTATATACGACAATGAGGGATGCAAGTCATTAGATGGAGTGGGTTGGAGGGGACTTTGACTGTCTGAGGGTGGGGTAGGCTGCAGAGAGGTGGGGTGAGGTGAACCCGGCTCGTCTGAAGCAGCAGCAGGCCGGGAAAGGGCCTGCGATGTAGTATAGTGGCACTTTTGACAGGTTATTTTCACCTGGTGAAAGAATAGAGCAAATCTATTATGAAAAACATATTAGATAAACAACTAGAACTTAACTTCCAGCTCATTATCAACTACTCTGCAATATATCCTGTACTCACAAACTTTTTTAATCTTATGAAAAATCACAATATATTAAAATACATACAACAAAAAAAGGCACAATACCGTGACTGGAACAATACACAAATAACCTGCACATAGAAGAGAGGAACTTACGACGACATTTCAGACTGACTTGGAGCATTTACAAGTTCGATCCAAGTCGGACCAAAACGTCATTGTAAGCTCCTCTCTTCTAAGTGCGTGTTACTTGTGTAATAAAATACAGCTTTGGAGAAATTTACCAGAAATATTTGCTTATTGCTATAGTAAGTGCATGTTATTACATACCTGTGTGACAGCTGCCAGGTGGGCAGAGATGGTGCCAGTGATGTAAAGGCAGCGGGAGGCTCGACATGACAAACACCGGGTAGACTGCCGCAAGAATACTGCCAATCCATGAATGTCAACCAAGTGGTGTCGTCCACCTGCCCTCATCATACCTGCACCCCCCACCATCTCTGCTCCCTCACTCCGAGGCTCAACTTTACTCAGATCTGTTGTTCCATGTCCTATGACCTCATTAGTAGGAATCTTATGGACAAGTTTATCTTTATTTCCACTAAAAGAGCACTCAGTAGGGCGAATAGGTGTTGCAGATGAGTCTGCAGTGATGTCTTGCAAACTTGTTTTAACGTAAGTACCACTAGTGCCATCATTTAGAGTGACATCATAGCAACCATCTCCTAAGGTACTCTTTGTAATTGTGGAAGGAGCTGCTTGATAATTGTTAGGAGTGACAGTGGCCAAGGAGTGTGTGTCACAACATAGCTTACTTCCATATCTTCCTGCTGTGTTAATTTGCAGGGGACCACCGCTGTCATTTCCACACCCTCCACCAACGGACATCTTGCACCGGGTGTCATAACCACAGTTCTTGATATCATAGGAATGCATAGCACACATTTCCTCAGAATAACACTCATCCAAGCCTCCCTGCAAAGTGAAATGTGATAAGAGTGCAATCACCTACCAGTATACAGTATAGCTCCATAACACTTCCCCCCCCCCCCCCACACACATACACATCTAGACTCCAAGATAATGCAGTTACTGGTACTGTACTAATAATATTCTGCAGTGAAAGCAGGATATTTTAATTATTTTAGTCTTAACATATCAAGTGTAAGCAAGTGTAGCGACCAGTGAAGAGGCGGGGCCAGGAGCTTGGACTCGAACCCCTGCAACCTCAACTAGGTGAGTACAACTAGGCAGTACAGACAGATACAACTAACAGTAATGATAATAAATAGGCTAACAAAGTTATATAGAGACTAGAGAGGAGCTTGAGAGACTGTGTGTTATATATATATATATACATATATATATATATTCAAAATGCAAGTCCTAATCCAAGACTTGACTGTTGGGGTGATGATCCCTGAAATCATTAATAGATATATGTGATGCCTGAGATACATTTGGATCTCACCTCTTAACAATCAGCTGCCCAGAATGATTCATGCACCCTGTTAGCTTTGTGGTAATGTCTTTACCTTGCTATATTTCAGGCCTTGCCAGCATCTCTCCTGTCTCTGTGGTATAGTAGGTCTTTAACTTGCTTCTGAATTTTAAACATATGTGTGTTAGAAAAATCTGGTTTGCAGCCCATGTGGAACCAAAAAGGCCCCAAGATTTGCATCCATACCAGTCACTGAGTTGAGAAGGCACTAAGATGAGATAAATTAGACGTGCCTAATTTATTACTATGAATATTATTATGATGAGACACTGAAGGAATTACCTGTCTGGAGATTACTTGGTGTGTCATACACAAACCCCTGCCTAAAATATGAAGAAAATACTGGCCAGAATTTCAACATAAACATAGACATGACTTAGCTGGGGTTCCCTGACTTTCCTGTCCACTCGCCTAATGCTCACGTTATGCAGGACTGCAAATCCAACAATTTCAGCTCCTATTTGAGAGGTTTTAAACACAATATAACCTCTAGAGCGACGAAAATTCTTCCGATTTCAATTAACGTTAATTCACTCAGTTCAAAACAATGGCATCTTTCCCCAGCCACACTCGCCAATTTCGCTGGTTCTTTATTTATTTACAAATTAATTTTTATTACCTACAATATATTCCATCAATTTACATACGAAATACACTGTATTTTCGGAAAATATACAGTATTTTCCACAGGTGGTGAGTGATGGGCGGGATGTGAGCGGGTGGGGGTGAGCGATGGGGGGGGGTGAGCGATGGGGGGGTGAGCGATGGGCGGGGGGGTGAGCGATGGGGGGGGGGTGAGCGATGGGGGGGGGGGTGAGCGATGGGGGGGGGGTGAGCGATGGGCCGGGGGTAAGTGATGGGTGTGTTCGAGGGTAGGAGTTATGATGGGTGGAAGCCAATGCAAGAGGAAAACAGAAATCATTGTTAGTGCAACAGGTTAGTCTGTTAAAATAGCATGGGTCCACAGTTGGGACTTTCAGCAAGGTCAGTTAGATCAAGTCAGGATCCTGCATGCCTGCTGATAGAGGCGCCAATTTGAGGTTCTTAAACCTCGACTTGATGCCATATTGACTTACCATGTGGAAATCTGGAATGTGGAAAATATGGCAAGTCAATATGGTGGAATAGTGCGCCCTGACAGTCCTAGCAAAAGTGTTTATCGTTTCTCTATGTGGTATTCATCAGTGAGAGGAGTGTGGGTAAGCCTGTGGTCTCAAACATGACAGAGGTGAGATGGCCAAAATCCTAAATGTGGTTATACCTGGAAGGGGGTTCGGGGGTGTCAACGCCCCCACGGCCCAGTCCGTGACCAGACCTCGTGGTAGATCAAGGCCTGATCAACCAGGTTGTTACTGCTAGCCGCACATAAACCGATGTACGAGCTACAACCTGGCTGGTCAGGTACTAAGTGCCTGTCGAGCTCCCTCTTGAAGACAGCCAGGGGTCTACCAACGCTGTCACCACCAGTTGCAGAGTTGCCAGAGCACTGAACAAAATAGTCTGAGAAAGGAATACATATGTGGGAAATCAATCATAAACAGCTGACCAAGCGGCTGAGCTTACTTGTTCAGTGCCCAGAACATCGGCGCGCCCAGAAACCCTACAAAAAACTTTTTGTATGTACTAGAAATGTGACATAACTAAAGCTGTAAATGGAGGAGGATGGGACGGGACGAGTCGAATTTCTGGATAACTTGTAAAGCACTTTGCAAGTCCGAAACACTACAAATGACGAGGCAGACATAGTGGCAATGTGCATGACAGAAGCGAGAATTAGAGAACTCTGCTGTGAAAATATTGGCCGATTATAGTAAATGATCTTAGATTTTTTCAGGAAAAGCAACTGTGTACCTGACACCACTGGGAGATTTAGAACCATTATTATACACTGCAATAGCATGATAATTAGACTGGAGGTGTTCAGGAGTGAGCATTAAAGCTGTGGCAGTCAATTGAGCTTTTGCACACGAAAGTGGGGAGGGTCAAATATGAATTGTCTGAACTTCGCAAGGAAGGTGAGAAAAGATGCAGGGTGAATGTGAAGGAAAGCCAAAAGAGAGTGAATATGGAGGCAAGACGCCTCAAGAAATGTCTGATACATACAAGGAAGATATTGCACTCGAGGAACCAAGCCCCAAATCTATACACTACCATAACTTACTGGAGAGAGGTATAGGTAAGTGTAAATAAAGTAAACCCTGAGTTTTAAAAGCAGGGATGCCATAGGCGCAATAACCAGCGCTGTATGACCCCTACGCGTTTAGCTCTTAATTTAACTAGAATAATAATAATAATAATAGGCACAGTAAAAGAACTGTCAAATTTGTGGCCCAAGACTATTTAATGTACATGTATATTAAAGCTAATATATGGTGGGAACAAGACACACATACAATTAAGACATACTGAAGGAGACGTGTGGCTACTGGTGAATTTTTCAAAAAATCCACCAGTGGCGAAAAGTATCTTGCAATAAATGTCTTTATTGTGCATGTGTCTTATTCCCACTATTCAACCTGTTACCAGCAGTTATCAGAGATACTACCGAAACAAATGTTGAGAAGTCTAAGAGGACTGGATTAGTATCTCCACCAAGTGCCAGATCAACCAGGCTGTGATGGCTATGTGGGCCAGCGAGCCGCAATAGCAACAGCCTGGTTGAACAGGCAATCAACAGGAAAGCCAGGCTGCGAGGGTTTAGACAACCCCTCAAAACCGGTCACGGGTATGTGACAGGTAGAGAAGGTAAAATGTGTTAGGAAACAACCAAAAAAAAAAAAATTACAAATGGGACACGTAAGGTGTTGTCTACATACCTGCAGGCAAGTGTTGAAACAACACATTATTATTATTCTGGTATCTTCAGAATTTTTAAGTTAGGAGGGTTAGCCATCCAGGATAACTCAAGAAAGTCAGCGTGTCATCGTGGACTGTATTTCCATTGGGGTCCTTAAGAGGCACGTTCCCCAGTCTTCTAATATGATGATCATTTTTCCCCTATAATCTACCTTGTCCATAATTACTATCGCATTTGCTTTGCCTCTTTCGTAAGTCTAGGATCTTTCCTTGATGACAAATGTGTTGGAGAGATCTTAGCAAAGCTCAGAGTACTGGGATGGTCAGACAAATGACTACTTGAATTCAGTCCCAGCGAGTTTAGTTAGTTTAATATGTTTATTATGCACCCCATACCCATCCTGTGGGCGGACCTAATCTCTTAGATTTTATGGTACTTTTCATACCTGGAGTTTACCTGGAGAGAGTTCCGGGGGTCAACGCCCCCGCGGCCCGGTCTGAGACCAGGCCTCCTGGTGGATCAGAGCCTGTCTCAGTAGTAGTAACCAGTTACCAGTCTCAGTAGTAGTAACCAGTTACCAGTACCGTCTGACTCAACGACTGCACTGGATCAATCTGTTCCACCAGTTGAGGAGAAAGACTTAGCTTCCACTGACTTCCCAGATGAAGTCAAGCGTTTGTTGACTCTGTTGAACAAACGTCGTAAAGCCATTGCTTTACCAGGTGAGAAGATGGGTATAACGAACTTATTGTCCCATCGTATTCCACTTGAACCGGGTACTAGACCCATCCCACATACCTGCGTACAGAATGCCTCATTCAATTTGCGGGCGCAGAAGAATTGATCAATCAAATGCTTGATGATGGAGTTATTGCACCTAGCAATCCCCCCTTGGAATGCACCCTTGATACTATACCCAAAGAGGATGGGTACTTGGCGTCCAGTAATTGACTTTAAGGAAGTTAAAACGCAAAAAAAAAAACCATTCCAGATCGCTTTCCACTCCCTGTACTGGGTTAATCTTTTACGTAATATTGGAGATAACAAGTCTTTTCAACCCTAGATTTGTTAAAGGGTTTTGGCAAGTCCCTCTTCACGAGGACAGCCAAGAACTAACTGCATTCTCCACTCCTACAGGTCATTTTTCACTATCTCCGAATGGCATTTGGATTACGATCTTCCCCTATCACGTTCTCAAGGCTCATGACTAATATCTTTAGAGGTCCATAGGTAATGCAACTTATGGTGTACTTAGATGACGTAATCGTCATGTCTAAAGACGTGGGTACACACTTGAAAAGACTTGATGTAGTACTTTGGTAAGCTTGAAGAAGCCAATTTAAAGATCAAACTGTCAAAATGTCAATTTTTCAGATCAGAAATTAAGTTTCTTGGTCACGTAGTCACTCCTAAGGGTTACGACTGACCAAAGTAAAGTAACTGCAGTACTAAATTTTTCCAACTCCCAAAACTGCTGATGCCGTAAGATCCTTTGTGGGCTTAGCAGGTTTTTATAGATCTTTCATTGCCAATTTTTCTTCCAAAAGCTGCTCCTCTAACTGAGTTGCTTAAGAAGATGGCCCCTTTTTTTTTGGACCTTCCGTCAAGAAAGAGCATTCCAAAATCTAAAAGAAAAAACTAACATCTGCTCCAATTTTTAAATTTTCCCGATTTTTT